AGCCCCCGGTACCAGATCGATATGGTGTTGTATATCGCGTAGAGGAGGCAATCCCAATGGTAGATCTTGAGGAAAAACATCAGCGAAGTCTTCCAAAAGGGTGATGATAGTGGGATCGATCTCCCTTTGTTCCGACGAAGGAGCGTGTTTGGCGATTAGGGCAAAAGCACGTTGTTCTTCTCGTAGCTCCTCAGTAAACGCTGCGAATGAGCATAGTAACACGGTATTGCTTGATCCTGTCCCTTCGCGCAGGTGGGGCGGAACATGTTGCTGACGAGTAGCAGGTAACGGAGGGAGGTCTTGACTTGGTAAAAGCACGATTTTGCGGTTCTCAAAGAAGAAGCTGTGCACATTAGTTCGGCCATTATGGGAAACATCACGATCATACTGCCACGGACGTCCCAATAACAAGTGACAGACATCCATAGGTACAACATCACAGTAGATTTTGTCTTTGTAATGATCGCCAATGGAGAAAGAAACCAGGACTCGATGAACAATGCGGATCTCAGTACCCTCCTTCAACCACACTAATTTATATGGAGCAGGATGTTCCGAACGTCGTAATCCCAACTTGTTGACTGCATCTTCTGAGATGACGTTACGGCAGCTTCCTGAATCAATCACAAACCTGCAGACCTTGCCTTTGATGGTACACGTCGAGGCAAAGATGTTGCTCCGTAGCCATGGTTGATCATCGTGGCGCATTGGTGCCAGACAAATACGTCTTAACATCAAAAGGGTGCCCTTGTCACCAGCATTACAGTCTTCGGTGATCTCCGGGATGACAGTATCCTGCAGATCCTCATCTTCTTCGTCCCATTTAACCTCATCTGTTAACAGACCACGACGAGTGGCATTGGGACAAGCTGTCTGGCGATGTCCAGGCTCCCCACACGTAAAACAACGCGAGGCGCTGGGTCTGGTGGACCTGCGTAACTCCTCTGCAGGAACGGTAGGGCGCGGTGCATTAGCTTGCTTTGTAGCTGCAGTCTCCGTAGACTCCTTTGCGGCGGCTCCCGGAGCACCCGTATCAGGAAGGGAAGATGAGCGCGCCCTTGAAGTCGTGTTCCAAGGCTGAGACGTTGATTTGAACTGAAGCTCAAAAGCGACAGCTCGGCGGTGAGCCTCTGCGACCGTGATCGGATCGAACTGAGACATGGCGTTCTGGATCTGAGGACGCAAGCCACCAATAAAACGCGACACCAATTGCACTTCACTGTCTAGTATCTCGTTGCGCGTCAATAGCAACGAAAACTCTTCAGCATAATCATCAACCGAACGTGACCCCTGACGTAAATTTTGTAACCGGGTAAACATGGTGCGATCGAAATTGTATGGCAAGAAAGACTTCCGCAAGACTTTCTCGAGTTTTGCCCATGTGCTAATAGGGTTTTTGCCAGCTCGAACCCGAGAAGCTTTGAGCTGAAGCCACCAAGAAGCAGCCTTTCCACGAAATCTTGTGGCAACCAAGGCTACTTTCCGATCTTCTGGAACCCTTTTAAATTCCAACATCTCCTGAACTGCAACCAACCAATCCAAGAGTTCCTCACCCCGAACTCCACCATGGAATTCTGGAATTTCAATCTTAATTCCCATTTCCCAACTGCGGTCTTCGCGATCTCTCTGCAGCCCGAATCCCCTGTTTTGCTGTCGATGATCTTCTTCGGCGAAAGGATTGTCTTCCGCGTCGGTTGACCCATCTTCAAAGAGGTTCTGCAGGTTGACACGATTACGACCATGACGATCTTGAGCCAAACGATTAGGTTCCTGACGCATGTAAACTGCTTCAGTCAATTCCCGCATGGATGTTTGTATCGTCAGTTGAATGTTTTCTTGCATTGTGACCAACGTACGACGCAACTCTTCCCACTCATTCATTGGCAGGTCAGCTGCTGGAACGTTGCGACGAGGAGCCATAAAAGGTGTCTGAAACGTGATGGAAAAGAAAAAAAAATTAGGTCGGATAGAACTTGCTCTGATACCAAACTGGCGCAGCGTAAGTTTTCAAAACGAGTTTCGTTTAGTCGAAGAATACCCGAAAGTCGATTTGGTTCTTGTTTTCGTTGATTCACTGATGAATGCCGAAGAACAAGCAAAGAGAAAGCCTGAAAGCTCTGTTTTGATTCAATAATAAAGTGACTTGTAACAAACGACGCTTGCTGTTTTTATACACAGCATAACAACCAAATCTTTAACTAAAAATCTCTACTTATCCCCTAACTCATGATTATCTAGAATAAGAAATAAAATCATAAATAACACTAAAAGCCCAACTAAAACGTAAACACTCCAAGCTCTGTTTCATGGGTCCAAAACAGAGGCCTATGAAGCTAATGATGCGCTGCATCAATTTTGCAGTAAAATCATCTCCAACCCTACTTCAAAACTCACTCCAAAATGGAGTAACAAACATGATTACTCCAAATATGGAGTAAACCAACTCATTACTCCAAAATGGAGTTGAACTTTTTTATTTATCAAATAGTCCTCCACATTTATATATGTTTCCTTTTTAATAAAATATTATTATAAATAAGTACTATATATATTATAAAATTTACTGTTATATTTCTTAATTATATAAATAGCCTCATTTTTAATAAAATATTATTATAGATAAGTATATTAATATTATTTTATTATATATTAGAAAATTTATTGTTAATATTTGTTAATTATATAAATAGCCTCGTCTTTAATAAAAATATTATTATAAATAAGTATATTAATATTATTTTATTATATATATTATAAAATTTACTGTTAATATTTTTTAATTATATAAATAACCATCTGATGAACTCTTTTATACAACATAATATATATAATATAAAACATAAAAGATCATACATATAGAAAATGAAAGATAAGCACCATACAAAAGAAATAACATAAAATAAAACTTACAACAAATATAATTGCTTAATAATTCGATAAATCATTTTCGGATCCATTAAAATTATTAAAANATACATATAGAAAATGAAAGATAAGCACCATACAAAAGAAATAACATAAAATAAAACTTACAACAAATATAATTGCTTAATAATTCGATAAATCATTTTCGGATCCATTAAAATTATTAAAATAATCCGATAAAATATTATTAAATTCTTACATAACATGATAATAGAAGATGATTGTGATCTCGAGGTGCCAATTGAAGTTGAAAGAGAAATCATGTCAAGGAAAATTGAAATTGAAGAAAATAATAATGTGAGGTTCCAAAAGTTTCTTTCCCATTTCAGAGAAATCAAAGATAAAGAAGCTCATTTTTTACTTCGAAATGCATTAGTTGATCATTTGTGGGGAAATTATTATAATTCTCATGAATAATTTAGAATTGATGTATTATTGTGTTTAAGCTATATAATGTAATTTTTAATGTATTAAATGTATTCTTTTAAAACCTTGTTGAGTAGTTTTATTTATATAACATAAATTTAATTGTGGTTAATATTGTATTTAATAGAAATGCTATAAATTTAGAATGGACTGTTTTGCAAATAGTATAAATGAAAGGTGATATTCCTAATTTTGAAATAAATATAATATTAAAAATATTCTTTTGGAGTAGAAAATGGAGTAATACATTGGAGTAAAACTCAACTGCATTTTGGAGTTACTCCATTTTAGAGTAGAAAATGGAGTAATACATTGGAGATGCTCTTATCCCCAAACTGGGTCCAAGTCATTAAATTTTTTTATTTTTATTTTTTTTAGGTCATTAAATTCTGTTTTCCCAATAAGTAGATAAATTCAAAATTGAATAGCATATACAAATACTAGTGTTAATTACATTTATTTTTCTTTGAACTAGTTAATTATTAAGTAGATATATAAAAATAATAATAAACAATTTAGGAGGTTGATGAATGATAGGGCTGAGACTTTTATCCAGATCCGGATTCGATATAAGATCCGCTCCGGATCCGCTCCATAAATTCCGGGGGTACCCGAATCCAAATCCGGATAGTAAAATCTTAGATCCATGCAAACCGAATCCGGATCCGGATATCTTAATTTTCAAGTCTGGATATCCGGATTCGGATCCGTATTTTTTAAAATATATTATTTTATCTTTTATTATTAATTATATCTGATATATTAATATTTATACATAAAATAAGTTTAATAATATTCTACTTTTATATTAATAATATTATATGTCATATATATTCATTAATTATGCTTAAATATTCAGTTTATGTATTTTTTAAAAAAAAAATAAATTATTTTTTTAATTATTTTTATGGATCCGAATCTAGATACCCGCGGATATCACAATATCTAGATGGATATCCGAAGTCCGGATACCCGAAAGACACGAATCTGAATCTGGATATTAAAATCATAGACCCGATGAATCGAGATCCAAATCTGGATACTTCAAATTTCTCGGATATCTGGATCCGTCTCACCCCTAATGAATGATGATATTGATAAAAAAAAGGTAGGTGGCACAATAAACATGTGAGACTGATGAGCCTTAAAGGGTGTAAGATAAACAGATTAATATTACCACGAATAAAAAAATTTACAAAATGCATCTTCTATGCATGTGTTTTTTTTTTTTTTTTTTTTTGTAAAAATCTTCTATGCATGTGCTTGTTGAATTAGGTTCATTGTTTTTTGTCAACCAATATTTTTACTAGAATACAAAAATCACTAGATAAAAGATATAATTCACTTTTTTTTTGTCAACAAATATATAACCCACTAGCTTCTCAATATTTGAGGCGTATTGATATAGATTTTTGTTGAGAAAAAATCGTATTGGTTTGTCAATTTATTTATGATTGGCTATTATACTATTTTAGTTTGATCGTTAGGAAACTATTGTATATGTTTTTCTCGAGTGTATAGAAAACTTGTAGCATGAGGAAGTGTGAATAGTGTAGATTTATGAGGTCACTTTATACTTTTCATGTATGCTCTTAATTTTATTACACAAAATTGCCCATACAAAAAGAAAAAGAAAAAGTAAGAATTAGTGAACATGATTGTTCTCCTATAAAAGCAGTGTTTATCTTCTTCTCCACACAACCATTCGCTCTCTCTGCAATTAAATATTCAAAAATGGCACCTTGCATCGACACTTCCAGAACCACCGGAAAAGCTCTTCTTTCTCAAGACGATGATTCTCGCTTCCATTACACGAATCTCTTCCCACCCACTAATTTCCCTGGTCGAAATTCACGATCACCCATCCTCCACACAACCTCTCCGCTCCAAGATTTTGATGATGATATCTGGTTTAAGATGCTTGAAGAAGCTAAATCCCACGTCGAGCAAGAACCCATTTTGTCAAGCTACTATTACTCTTCCATTACATCGCATCGATCGTTAGACTCCGCTTTGGCCAACATTCTCTCCGTAAAGCTCAGCACTTTAACCTTACCAAGCCACACCCTCTTCGAACTGTTCACCAGCGTCTTACAAGAAAGCCCAGAGATCACCGAGTCCGTGAAGCAAGACCTATTAGCAGCAAAGGAAAGAGACCCAGCTTGCTTAAGCTACGTCCATTGCTTCCTAAGCTTCAAAGGCTTCCTCGCTTGTCAAGCTCATCGCATCGCTCACAAGCTCTGGACACAAGACAGAAAGATCCTCTCTTTACTCATCCAAAACAGAGTATCCGAAGCTTTCGCCGTCGATATTCACCCGGGAGCGAAGATCGGGAGAGGGATTTTGTTGGACCACGCGACCGCCGTGGTGATCGGTGAGACGGCGGTGGTTGGAGACAACGTTTCGATTCTCCACGGCGTGACGCTCGGAGGAACAGGGAAGCAGTGCGGCGATAGGCATCCGAAGATCGGTGACGGAGTCTTGATCGGAGCAGGGACTTGTGTGTTGGGGAATATAACAATCGGAGAGGGAGCTAAGGTTGGATCGGGGTCGGTGGTGCTTAAAGACGTGCCGCCGCATACGACGGCGGTTGGAAACCCGGCGAGATTGATTGGTGGGAAAGAGAATCCGAAAATGCTTGATATGATACCCGGTTTGAGCATGGACCAGACATCGTACTTAACCGAGTGGTCCGATTATGTCATCTAAAACAAAACAAAAAGGTGTAATTATTGTCTTTGCTGCGTGTTATCTGTCCACGTGTAATAAGTCGAAAAGATGACTCTGATTTGCAAACAAGTTAAACCAACCAACCAACCAATTTGTTCAAAAAAAAGCTTAAACCAACCAACATTCTTTGTACTGGGTTAACGTACCAAACCACCATTAAACTGTTAACCAAGAAAGTGAACCGGTTCATCTATGTCTCTGCTGCAGCAATAAGCTCCACAGATCTTTCCTCATTCCCCATCATATCACTCAGAGCCGGTCCTAAAATATTTAATACTAGACGCAAAAAAAAAAATATGCCTCGATCTGTAACCACCGTTGGTCAAACCCTTGACCAGAAGAAGGTGAGTATTGTGCTCATCGCCACTAGACCAAAGGGACAATATGAATTATGTGCTGGAAACTTCCTAATAAAATAAACGACAACAAACAGCTGCTTCCCTACCTTGATGCTAGGACCGGCTCTGATATCACCTTCTTTCTTCACCTCATCTATCATTATCTCCATGAAGTTAATTCATTAGATGATGCTTCTTCTCTCCTCTCTTTAAACGTATTTCTGCGTGCCTTTTAGTCGGAAAAATTGATGCCAAGTATAAATAACTAGCCAAATCTTTTGGAAAACAAAAAGTATATGGACCAGAGATATTTATTATAAGACGAATGTAGAGAGGGTTCCAAAAAAGAAGGTTCAAAAGGAGACTTAACTAAAGTAAAACTGAAATTTCTACAAATTTGTTTTTTTATTCCCAAGTTTGATGTCACTTTATGATCATTTGTTTATTATCAACTGTGATATAATAAATATATAAACCCCAATCAAACACAGAGAAGTGAATAAGATAGATGTTTGATTCCTTCAATATATATTGAGTTAGGGTTTATTATACTCTTCCGATGGTATCTTTGACGTCTAAGACCCCCTTTGGGAAGAGTTATGTAACACCCATCATCTCCTATCTGGAATACAGCGTGTGATCTTCATTAACAGGCCAACAAACGCTGGGATAGTGCCCAGTAACACCGTTCGAAGACGATTAATCGACCGCACTAGACTATGGCTCGGACGATCGACTGAAGCCATCCGTAGCCCCCATACACCCGACCATACAGAATTACGTCCCTGTACCCGTCCCAAACAATTCTAACTCCATAATTTACATTAAGTGAAGCAATCAATGTTGGACCATTTGACATCCTAATTCCGGTTTAAGCAAAGAACCTAAATAATTAATCAAAGAGACACCAATCAGACCCTAGAAGACTCAATTCATGCAGACAGAACATATTAGAAATAAAATAGATTTAATCAAAATCCTAAACCGTGTACGAGAAGTTCGGGAGTAGACCCTCACCTTAACAAATGGGAAAAGTGGTATCTATGAACTCCAGCTGTTCAAATAAATCCCAAATCTGAAATCATATCGAAATTTTGAGTCAGAACTCCCTTCGAATGGAAAAAACGGGTGTTTACGGAAAAGTCAACCCGGAGGTCAAAGATCAACTAGGTCACTCTGACCCAACCCGGTCAACCTTTGAACAGATTGATATCAAACTGAACCAATCAGTTTTCCTTCACCGGATTCGATTTCAATTGAACTAGATTCAAATCAATTACAAACCGGTTTACACCTAACCAAAATTCAATTGATTTTAACCGCCCATTTATCTTAACCAAATCGCAATTAATTTAAACTGGGTCAAACCAGCAACCAACCGAGTTGATTGAGTCACCGGCAACGGTCACTAGCGGCTGAGCTGCGGTGGTCCGTTAGCGGTGGTCAGATGGTGGCGAAGCGGTGGTTTGGTGACGGTGACGATTTCAGGCGGCAGCGCGTAAAACGCACAAGCACGATGAATCTTCAGGTGGCGTGTGTGGCTTCGTCCGGGCTCTGACTGAGGCGTGGTCGGCGGATACGGCTTCGTCTCAACGAGAGGAACACGATGGTGACCTTGCATGTACGAGATTCTCAACGGTTAGAGAGTTATGGTCGATTTACTAAACGAATGAAACTAAGCTTAAAAGTGTTTGGTTTTCCGGCAGCTACCTAGGGTGTTAAGCGGTGGTTACAGGCTAGATGTAGTCTTGACGTGTGGTGACTTCGGCGATCACTTCAGGTGGCTCAAAACCAAAGGTTTCCTCTCTCTCTCTCTCTAATTTTTCCTTTTGGTTGCAGAAAAATAAAATGCTGGTGAGATGGTGAATCTTTATAACCATGACATTGAGTCATCGGAAATGGCTTAGGCCTGTGGAAACTTCTGTTAGCAAGCTAACAAACTCCAAAACCGAAATTGGGTCGTTACAAGTTAGATTCTAGATTTTTGCGTGTTACTAGGTCGATTTTGTGTATGAATCTTTGATTTAAAACACTCTGGGACCGAGAAGCTGCAGAGCGTTCTGTCTCATGTACCTGTGAAAGTCCTTTGCTGTTTGAAGAACAAGTTTTCTTTCCCAAAGATTCTAACAAGAGCTTCTGGATAACTCACGATGAAACACTTGTTATCTTGATTGGACATCTCGAAATTCACTGTTGAAACAATAGTCTTGGAGCCGAGAATGCTTATCGGGAACAATGAACCGTGCCTGAAGCACAAACCAGACAGAAGAAAGAAGACCAACTTCGACATTCGTTTCTTGACAAAATGGAGGGATTTCGTCGAAACTGCGAGGTTTAAAGAATTCAATAAATTCTCCAATCCCCGGAAAAACCCCATAGACAAACTAATACATACTAATAAGATAAAAAAAAATACATAACTTTAGATACAAGTTTTGATTCATTTTCTGCTTTGTTTTCTTAATTGTGCATAAAATTTTAAAGTTACAAAAATTGGTAGACCATATATAAGATCTTGACAACTACTAGTAAAAAGCTGTAACAACACACAATGTATCAACGTGTTTCAAAAAAAAAAAAAAAAACACAATGTATCAACAACCCACATGTCTTTGTAATTATTAATTAGCTATTATCTAAACATTGATTTTGTTCACAAGTTCTGCAGGGGAGTAGTGCCTTAGCCCCTTTGCGGTGCAATCAATTATTCCACCATGTTCACTGGTAATGATGTCTCGTATAGTATTTTTGATTAATCGTTACACCTAATACAAATAGAGCTATGATGAAATTCATACGTATAATAATGTCTTAACTGGTATTTTATATGAGTTTGTACAAGAATGAGGGAAATGTTTGTACAATCAGACACAGCACACCCTTACTCCTCGCCCCTTGAAGAATAGTTCCAATCATGAATATGAATATAGCAATAATGACTCACACTACTACACTGACTCGACCATCATCAATTCCACGCAGTGCTTGGTATGCCAATATCGGTGATCAAGAGGCTCTCGGAGCTCTGTGATTCTTTAACCTCAATGCCTCCATCGATCTTAGTGAGCTGACTGAGCAGAGCTCTGAGAACCATCTGATCTGAAGAACAGAACGAGTCTAGCCCTGGGAGCGTGGTGGGGGCTGAACCACCAGTGAACAAGGGGATGATAGGGTTCTTGCAAGGAGTCTTGAGTTCAGAGACTGAGTTGGTTAGGGTTTGGTTCTGTGACAAATTGGAGAAGCAGGGCACTTGCTCATTGGTGATGAAGTGCTGATCAAAGTTGATGTAAGAATCCATCAGCGGAGGAAGAGAAGCGGAGGCTGTCTCGTCAAAACAGCTTCCCGTGTTGTCTCTACTTAAAACTCCTTCTGTTTTCTTGTGGAACACTCTACACAAGACACAGTCTTCCTGTACCTCTGGAGAGTTCAGAGTAGGAGGATCAAAGGAAGCCTGGAGACGAAACTCGTGCATGACCCAATCAGTTTTACGACCACGGGGAGCTCGACCTTGATAAAATACCAATGTCTTCCTCATCCCAACAAGCTTACTCTTTCTTAGAATGGCTCTGTCTTTCCCTGTGGCTTTCCAATATCCGGTGGCCGTTGCTCTGTTTGTTCTCAGCCCCGTCGCGTATTTCCTATCTCGTTGGCTGTAGAAATACCAATCTTTGCCTCCCACGCATGCCGTTTCTAATCATTTGAAACAAAAACAACAAAAACATTTTTTTGTTGTTGTTAATATACAATAATGAAACTCATGAATAATATAACAGTGATTTTCTTAACTTCGTATTCTGTTTTATTGTTTTTAGCTTGTTAAAACATAACTCAATTAGTCAGTGACAACAAAAAAACAATAATTGAGCATTTCCATTCAAACAAGAAAATTATTAATATATAGTACAATTTATTATTTAGTTTTGTAAAAATGATCAAATACTATATAACAATTTAACCAATTTATTTGTTTCATAAAATTTTCATGTGCTTTTCAAATATTTTTATTTTAAAACTTTGTTATATTCTTTATCTTACTTTTTTATTGGGAGATACATTTTTAAAATAAATGTTTTTATTGTTAATTTTTTGTAGTAATAATAGAAGTATATACAGGCTTGATCAAGTAAAAGATTTCAACGAGACCCTATATTTATTATTATAACATGATAATAAAGTATTATATGGGTTCCATGTTGATCTATTTTAGAAAAAAAAAATAGTAAAAAATATATCATTTTTATTTTTAGAATATTATTATATTCTAAACATATTTTCGTTTTTTTTTATTTTCTATGATTATTTTAGATGTTCTTATATTAGTAAACCACTAAACCTATAACAATAAATGTTGTTAGAGCATCTCCATTAGAGTTTCATAAGGGGGGTTCACCCCTTTCCCAAGAAAAAAAAAATTAAAATAATACTATTTGGGTGAACCTCTCTCCAAAAGGTTCATGGTAGTGAACCTAGTTCACATGGGGTTCGCCACGTGGCGGCACCCCATTTGTCCGAATTTTTTTTTTTTTTTTTTTTAGAAAACAAAAAAAAAAAATTAAAAAATCAAATTTTTTTTATAAGATCTGTTTAGAGTATTGGTCAATTTGTATATGTATTTATTTTGAATAACATGTATCGGTTATTTACTGATGTAGTATTTACAAAAGAAATATATATAATCACATCCATGCGGATTTGAACTAAGCCTGTCAACATGTGATATCTTGAAGCAAAAATCTCAAATAAGAACCCAACGTGTGCAATGAGTTGTATGAATGAATTTTAATTTGTTAATTGTAAATGGGAGCTTTGTTTGAATAAAGAAAAAAAGTATTATTTATCAAATGGGTGCCGACTCATTTGATAATTACGTGGTTGAAGGGTCAATACCTTGATTTGAAAAATAATCAAGGACCCATTAAAGGCGTACGCGAAGGAGAAGAAGAATCTAAGTAGTAAGTATGATCAAACAGAACGAATATTATTTTCCAAAACTTTTAAATATATGTCCACTTAGCCAAAAAAAAAATGTCACACTCAAAGGCTACAAAACCAACAAAACCTAGATATTGACTTATTCGTCGTTATTATCTTATGTTATTCCTATCCAAACTTTTTCAAGTAGTTTTGGTTGACGATAACGCCAAGAGTGTCAACTTCTCTTGTAAATATGTGTCCCTAATTTTCTCTTTTGCAGTTATTTGTAAGAGCAGCCACAATGCAGGGCTCTTGAGAATCCTTAGCCCGCAAACCTAGGAAAATCGGGCTAAAAAAACAATAAAAAAATCCCAACCCATAAGGATTAATCTTTAATTAAGTAACTTAAAGATCAAGTCCTTGTATACGTAGCCCGATTCTATTGGCTTGGCCGGAGGTTGTCTCCGCGTTTGGTCGCGAAAAAGTTTCATTTTGCGAGTGAGAAGAAAAAAAAAAGTCTCGAGAGAGCTCTGGGGAGAAGAAAGGCGATTTTCGAATCCTCGATCTCGAAGGTCAATTGATGCCTTTCTGTTACTTTTTTTTTTTGCTTCTGGTGTTGATGCATGTTGTTTCGATGACTCATTGGGTTCGAGAGAGTTGTGTGAATTGATTTTTGGTTTGAAATCGATTTAGGGATTTTCCCGAGTTAGGGTTTTCCTCTGGATTTGCTTCCTACTTCTTTTCGATAGGTTGTTTAGTTGTTTTTGTCGTGATTACGGGTTGTACATAGTTGCTTAGATAGATTTATGGTTTTAAATCGATTTGGGGATTTTCTGGAATTAGGGTTTTTCTTCTAGATTTGCTTCCTTCTTCTTCTCGATAGGCTCATAAGTTGTCTTCGTCGTGATTACGGGTCTGAGTTTGGGGATTAAGTAGATTTATGGTTTATTGTTCATTTTTCATGGTTTAGGTCTGAGTTTGGTTCATTGTTCTTGTGTTTCCTATTGGATTCCTTCTTCTTTTATTTTCGTCTGTACTTGAGTTTAGAAATTGACACCTTCTTTATTTGTTGCAGGTGTGGAAATGGATGAAGAACGTCGAGATGAGAAAGCACGCAAAGAGTATTACAATAAGCTTGACTTCGTTGCAAATGCGCAACAAGGGATTCCCAAGCTGTGCCCCTGTGGATCAATCACAAAGCTTATCGTAGACGAGGATGATACCTATGACTACCTACCGGGGAAGAGATACTTTATCTGTAAAGATTTCGAGGTATGAACGTTTCTGTCTGTTAATGTTTGCGTTTTTTTTTTAAAATGTCTTGACAAATATGTTTCTGTTTTGGCAGAATGATGGGATGCATTTCAGACAACCATGGGTTATGGGAATGCAAGAAGAAGTTGAGAGGCTCAAAGAACAATTTCATGAGCAGGAGAAGGTGCTCAAAGAGTGCCAGGCACTTAAGGTGAAAGTCTCAAACTCAAATAATTCTTTCACAATCGGTTTAGTATTGATTGTTGTGTGTTTTCTTTCAGGACCAGGTCAGGATGCTGCTGCGGCGTGTGGTTGAGCTTGAGAGAGCCAGCTTAGGTTAGCGTATACATTAACCTTCCTTCTCTTCTTCGTTTGAATTTTTTTTAAACTATTTGAACATACTTGAATCTACTTCGGAAATAACTTAAAGCTACTTGAAATTTTTTAAAAACTTTAGTTCGAACAGTAGGTAAACCAACTTTAAATTAAATGCACAATTACTTAAATTGTACTTGAAGTTTTTAAAGAACTTGAACTTTTTTAAACCTTTAGTTAAAACAGAGGATTAAATTTAATGCAGACTAACAACTTCTTCCTATCCGTTACGATTGGACACTTTCCTACTAGGATTAAATAGAGTTTAATGTTGGAACCTCTACTTAATCTCCTCCATTCTACTAGAGAACAATAGATTCCAAACCAAAAATGACAGACCCCAATAGCTTTGTTAACCTTTTAAACAGTCAAGGGTGTGTTGATCTTGAGGGCTCGGAACCTCTGCTCTTTAGCAGTCAAGGTTCTGATGACTCTCATGTTAAAGAGAGGAGAAAGTGGACAGCAAAGGAGGATGTAATCCTCATCGGGGCTTGGCTTAACACAAGCAAAGACCCGATAGTTGGTAATCAACAAAAAGCTGTTGCGTTCTGGAAGAGGATTGTAGAGTATTACAACTCCAATCCTCAACTGGTTGGGACATCACCTAGGGAACTAGGCAAATGCAAGCAACGATGGGCTAGGATCAACGACATGGTCTGCAAGTTTTCCGGTTGCTACGAATTGGCAGTGAGGGAGCAGTCAAGCGGGTGCAATGACAACGACCTGACGAGTGCGGCATTGCAGATCTTCAACAACGACCAGAAGTGCAAGTTCAACTTGGAGCATTGTTGGAGAGAGCTTCGTTACGATGTGAAATGGCGCTCCACCTATATGGACAAGGACAGTGGCAAGGAGAAGCGCAAGACGGCAGAGGCTTGTGATGAAGTGCCGAAGCCTGAAGAGAGACCAATAGGGGTTAAGGCCGCTAAGGCGGCTGTGAAGAAGAATAACTCTGGAAAAAATGAGGAGTTGTCTAAGTTGGAAGGGTTATTGGAGATGAAAAAGCAAATCTCTAAGCAGAATTTGCTAGAGAGTTTGCTTGCAAAACTCGAACCACTAACTGAGATGGAACTAGCGTTCAAAGACAAACTCATGTCTGAAATGTTGTGATATTGATTGCTTGCTTTTGAAATGTGTGTATGTCACGGGTTGTTGTTAGTTTGTTTGTTTGTGATGACTCATTTCTTACTAACTTATCTTGTTCTGTCTTTTTCAGGTTAGGTACAAGGGAGCATTCACGGGTTGTTGCTGTTTTCTGTGTCCTAAAGCTCTTTGTGTTCTTTGTTTTCCTGTTTGTCCACGGGTTGTTGTTTCCACATGTACCATCACGGGTTGTTGTATTTCTTTGTAGTTCACGGGTAGTTGTTTCCTTTGTATTGCCTTTATAAGGCACTTTGTTGTTGCAGTTGATGAGCCATTCACTTCGCTCATGATGTATTCAGAACCAAAAAAACTTAAGTTGTGATATTTCCTACTGCAAGTTGTTTTCTACTCTCATTATACTCTCATTTTAATACCAAGTGAAACTTCTTTTCTACTCTCATTTCGATACCAAGTGTAACTCGTTTTCTACTCTCATTGTCAACCCGAGTTTGTCTTCTACTCTCATCTCTCAAGTTGTTTTCTACTCTTATTGTCAACCCGAGTTTGTCTTCTACTCTCATCTCCAATATACATAATCACATTGTTAATATAGAATTGCTAATATAGTTTGTTAGTATAAAATTGTTAATTTAGAATTATTAATTTAGAATTGTTAATATAAAATTTTTAATTTAGAATTGTTAATTTGGAATAGTTCTTTTAAATTGTTAACATAAAATTGTTAATATATAATTGTTAATTTAAAATTGTTAACATAAAATTGTTAATTTAGAATTGTTAATTTGGAATAGTTCTTTTAAATTGTTAATTTAAATTGTTAACATAAAATTGTTAATATATAATTGTTAATTTAAAAGTGTTAACATAAAATTGTTAATATAGAATTGTTAATTATTTTGAAGGTCTCGATGGCAGATGATCTCGATAGAAGAATCGATCAGGCTGTCGACGAATGTTTTGAAGATACATTCAACAACATCGTGGAGAATCAAACAAGAACACAAAAAAACGTGCTTATTATGAACGAGAACGTGAGGAGGGTCACCGACGTCTATGGAATGACTACTTCAGTGAAAATGCGATATTTCCGCCAAATATGTTTAGGCGTCGTTTCCGCATGAACAAGGAGGTATTCATGCACATTGTCAATGAGCTCTCAGAAAATATTCCATTCTTTCAACAAAGACGAGATGCAGTCGGAAGGTTCGGTTTATCTGCATTACAGAAGTGTACAGCAGTTATTCGTATGATGGCTTATGGCTGTGCGGCTGACGCCGTTGACGAATATCTTCGACTTGGTGAAAGCACGGCCCTTTCGTGTTTGACCCATTTGACAGAAGCCGTAATACAGTTATTTGGAGATGAGTATCTACGACGACCAACTCCTGATGATCTTCAACGATTGCTCGATATTGGCAAGATACGCGGCTTTCCTAGGATGATAGGAAACATCGACTGTATGCATTGGGAGTAGAAAAAGTGCCCAACCTCTTGGAAAGGACAGTACACACGTGGATCAGGAAAGCCGACAATGGTTTTGGAGGCTGTGGCGTCACAGGATCTTTGGATATGACACTCTTTTTTTGGTTCTCCCGGGACCTTAAATGATATTAATGTCCTCGATCGGTCACCTTTTTTCGATGATATTATACAAGGTAGAGCTCCACCGGTAAAGTTCGTGGTCAATGGTCACCAGTATGATTTGCCATACTACCTAACCGACAGTAGATATCCGAAATGGTCGACATTTATTCAATCTATTTCACTCCCTCAAGGTGGTAAGGCAGAGTTATTTGCTAAAGTTCAAGAATCAACCCGAAAAGATGTGGAGCGTGCTTTTGGATTGTGCGAAATCCGGCTATTTTGTGGGACCAGAAAAAAATGGGGATGGTGATGCGAACATGTATCATACTTCACAATATGATAGTGGAAAATGAACGCAATGGATACACTCAGTATGATACATCTGAATTTGAAGAAGGAGACTCGTCGCGAAGTTCACAGGTGGATATGTCCTATTCTACCAACATGCCTTCACATTTCGGTAATATGCTAGGCTTACGGAGTCATATTCGAGATAGGCGTATACACGAACAACTGAAAAATGATTTAGTTGAAAATATTTGGAACAAGTTTGGTAATGACGAAGATGTGTGATTATTATGATTATTGTATGTTTACTTTTTATAATTTAATAAATAAAATTTTCACTTTTTTCCAAATTTAAATATTTTAATTCTTTAAATTTTAATAATTAAAAAATGCTAAGGACTCCATTATCGATAACACCATTGGACACATAATATTTACTAGAATCCTTAACTATTCAACAAAAAAAAAAACAATATATTAATGCTAAGGATTCCACAATGGGGTACACCATTGTGGATGGTCTAAGAATTATGTGTATGTTTGTAAGAATTATGTGTATTTTTCTATGAGTAGTTTCCCTAATTTATGCCAATAATGATATGTTTAAAAATAAGGATCACTAATGTGTAATTATGTCTAGACTAGATTGTAAAATATCTAGAATTATAATAATCTTATTAGGTGACATCATCGGATGGTTATTAGAAATCACTCCGATTTTTTTAGTGGATATGGATTAACTAACTTGGATCTTTTGTTTGAAGGATAATATTTTTTAAGAAAATAGAAGAAAAAAAACATTTGTTTGATCTTGGTTCTTAATTGTGTTTCTAGACCAAAATCATGAACACGAACGAACGCGGTATCTAAACTATGATCATGACGATGAATTACTAATATATAAAAAAGACTAAAGAAGCTTTTAGCTACATGTATCATGTATGTATCAATCACGTAATATTAAAATTAGAAAAATAAGATTGCAGTAATTGAGGGACGTACTGGGGATGTCCCAAGGCTCGCACTTGTTGAGATCGACTTGGATCAAGAGGAGAGGAGGAGGAGTTTGATTTTTATTGTGACCAAGAGATCTTGCCATCAAGTAATCGCACACAAGCTCGTCGTCCTTCGGGTGAAACCTGAATCCTGGGGGCAACTTTGCCTCCACCATGCTTATACTACTTTCCTTCTCCTCCTCCGACTCCATGCTCCTCTCTCTCTCTCTATTGAGATCCTTTGATCACTGAATGGTTAAATTTGAGGTTTATAATATTTGATGAGCTCTTTTTGATTAGCCGATAATTTTTCTAAGAGGAAAAGAAAGATAAAGAGAGAGAAAATAATGATTATTTGTGATCATTGGGTGTGTCTGAGGAGGAGACTCGTGGTTTAAGTAATTACAGTACTAGGTAATATGTACCGAATGTGATTATTATTCTTGTTATTTTTTAATAAGGAGATATTAAATCTGTTTAATCTAGAAATCAGTTTGATTTTTTTTGTTTTGTCTCAATCTTCTAAAATATAGCTATAGTTCTAAATCAATATTTACTAGGTGTAAAATAAATTAAAATATTTTTTTAACAGATACAATATATAATATGTTTAAAATTAAAATTTTATTAATATAATAAATTTTGTTTTTCTTATCACTATTTTAGTACAAAATTTTGTTTAATTAAACATCAAAAGTAATATAAAAATATTTTTTATTTTAAATTATATTTAAGAATATGCATGTATGTATTTAAAATTATAATCTTAGACAATTTTTTTATCTATTTATTTTAATTAAGTATATTAAATAAATTTGTAGAAACTTTTATAATTATCAAAAATTAAAATTAGACAATATTTATTAAATTTGTAAATATACAAGAAAATAATAATTTTAGGATTAAATTTTAATAAATTTTCAAAAAGGTATAAACTTTTGAAAATTTTGTAAAAAAATTGTATAATTTTAAAATATATAATTAAATGATCTTTTCGAATTTTTAATGCCATACTGGAATATATTTAATTTAATGATGATTTATGAGTTATTACCATATTTTAAAAGTATTTCCAAAAATATAAATCGACATTAAATGTAATATATGAGTTGTTACCATATTCTATAAAGTTTGCCGAAAATATATATTAACATTAAATGCAATTGTCCATGCCATATTTAATCATATGCCATGTCATCAATTCTAGTAGACATGTCACTATTTGTTATGTGAAACTGATTCTAGAGACGACATGTGGCAAAATCACTTCGCAAATAATGAATAGGGGATTTTGATTTGTTCGGTTCAAATTGTTGATATTTTTTATTTTTCTGGTAATAACCAAATTCTTTTTTTTTTCATGTTATATTAGTTTTAAATAGTTTTAATATCGAGCCAATAGTTTCATATCACAGTTTCCAAACATATAATAGTTAAAAAAAACAAAATTATTAAGACAAATCATTTCATTACAATTTGGTCGATAAAGAAAAAAACATTAAAAAGAATATTTTAACAAGTGAATTAGATACTTAAGTTGTGGTGAATATTTAGTTAGACAGGTGCTCACGTCAATGTCCACATGTAAGTGGTTGTAAAGTATATAAAAATAGTTGATAAATATATAAAGATATTGTTAATTAATATTAAATGACATTTTTTCTTTTCAAAATAACACGTAAGAGATAAAATTCATATAATAAAATTAATTAAAAATAAAATAAATCTAGATATTAGTGATTTTTTGTATAAAGAAAATCAAATTATATCTGTAAATATAGGTGGACACATATCGAATAGCCAGATATTTAGAGGTATTAGTGTCGATTTGATCCGTAGTCACCCAGGTCTTTAGTGTCTTAGCTATCTGGAAAATTCTAGAATTTTCACGGATATAAGATTTGATCCGTAAATAAAATATTTTTTTTTAAAATAAATTAAAAATCTAAAAATAATAATATTTCATAACAAAATAGATTATTATTGAAAATTTTAAATTCTAGTACCTGATATAATAAATTTAATACATAAAAATATTGTAAAAATTATATAAACTATAATATATATATATATATATATATGCATATAACAGATCGAGTCAGATATTTGTTCCTAAAAATATTAGTATATGTGATTTGCTTCATTTTTTTACATATATTACATTTTAGTAGTTGATTTGCTTCGTAGGGTTACAAATACCTTGAATTTTATTTGAATCAAAATAGATAAGGAATCGAATCTCCATAAATAATAAAATAATATATGTTTACTTGGTTTTTTGTTTCGTTATCTTTTTTTTTTTTAATCTTAAAATCTAGATATTGTAAGTTTTATTGAAACTTTACATGTGACTTTTATTAAAATTTTTTTTAAAGTACATGTAACACATTTATGTAAAGTATGAGTGTTCCTTCTCAAATCGTTGTGAGATTGTTACGTGTCCATTATAGTGTGAACGCATTTTTAAAATATTTCTCCTTTAATATATAAGAGATCTACCAACTGATAGTGTATTCTATTCTCATCAAACCTGATTTTTTTACTATTGAATAAACTAATAAGTAATTTTCCAAATAACAACGGAAATCTAGTTTTAGAAATTTTTACTATAATCATATGTGAGAATTTCCTTGAAAGATCAAATTTTAAATTACATTTTTAACTGCAAGTCATTAATCAAAAGCAAAAAATCACACATATATTTTTGCATCAACAACTAAAAGGATATTTGATACATTCCCTATATATTAAAAGAGAAGCATTGTCATTTAATTTGTTCACATTATGTTTGTCAAATGTCAATCTCACAGCGATTTTAGAACGAATAAGTTGATGTGTCATGTGCAAAGAGCTTCTCAGTGGAACTCTACGTACATAAATGCGTTCACAATATACTTTTTACATTTTTTCAGTATGAAACTCGCATGCACGGTTCATGGAATAGAAAGAAAAATTTCAGAAAATCATTCACTATTTTCTAGGCTTGTTTTATTTTATTTTATTTATTTTAATAGAATATTATCTTTCATGTGTTCTTTTGAATAAAAATGTTTTTTTAATATTAATTATGGTATCTTTATATATTTATCAACCACCTTATATATATTTTTACATACACACACATGTAAGAGTGGACATGAATCAGATATCCGAGATTGTGGAGATTTTTCTTATCCAATATGTTTTGTCCGAATAATAAATTATCCGATTCGATTCGATTCGATTTGTAGGCATCGGGATATACGGTGTTCCAAATACCTGAAAAAATTAGTTTTTAACTGGTTTTGATTCGTAAACATATAAATTAATAAAAAATAAATAATAATCTATAATAATATAAAATAATAAATTTTATTAAAAAAATAAAAAATAATTATTTTTGAATACTAATAACTAAATTAATAATTTTAGTAAATAAAAATAATGTAAAGCTTATATAGAATATATTATTTATCTAACTTATATATATATAATTTATTAAATATATGTATATATAATCATATAACGGATCAGATCGAGTATCCCTTTTTAACAATATTAGTAATTGTGATTTGCTTCGTTTTACGAATATTGCATATTAGTATTTGCTATTCTTCGTAGAGTTACCGATATCCAAATTTTTTGTTTGAATCGAGAAGTGTAACGAGTCAAGTCAAAATTTACAGATATTTTAGCTTTCTTTACATACATGTGCACATTGACGTGGACACATATATAACTAAATATTCACTACAAGTGAGGAATCTAATTTTCTTGGAAGATGAAATATTCATATTTAATGTTTTCATTCACCATTGACTAAATTATAATGAAATGATTTGTCTTAATAGTTTTTTTTCTTTTTTTTAATTACTATCTAAATTTGATTTGATTTTCTATTCATTTAGAAATTATAATATGAAACTATTGGTTTGACGTCAGAACTGTCTAAAATTCTTATAACATAAAGCCAAACAAACAATAATAATTTTTGGTATGAAATCTAAAAATCTCAAGCATTTTAACTGAATAAACAGAATAAATATTGATTTAAAATGGTTGTTATATTTTAATAGATTAAAAACCAAAAGACTAACCTAAAACCGAAACGATATCCAAATTAAACAAACCTAATATCTTCTTATCTTAAGAAAAAAATGAAATTAATAATTTTATTCTGCGTAAAGCGCAGATTATTAGCTAGTGTACTACCATATAACAAGCAACAACACAAAGCCAAAAAAGGTAAGTATTTAGATTAGTTGTTTTCCCTGAATATTTGTGTCTGATGAAATGTTCTGCAAATCCAATTAGTACTTTCATATTAGATACTAAAACAAATATGTCATTTTGAAATTTGTATACAAAACAATATATATATGAAAATTCATTTATATCTTAATGTGAAAAATACCTAATGCGAATCGGAAAGAGTACTAAATTTGGATTCACGAAGCGCAACTATAACATTTAAAAGTGAAAAAAATGGTTAGGTTTAATCCTCTATACATTATTTGAGAAGTGATTTTGCCACATGTATTCCCTACAATAATTTTCACAAAAATAATACGATATGGCTACTAAAATTGATGATATAACTTATAACTTAATATGACATATACAATTACATTTAATGTTAACTAGGTAATAACCCGCACTTTACGCAGAATGAGATTATTACTTTTGTTACTTTTAAGATAAAAATGATATTATGTTTGTTTAGCATGGATATTGGTTCAGTTTTACGTTGTTTTTTAATCTCCTAAAATATAACTATCATTCTAAATCTATATTTAATTTGGTTTCTTTGGTTTAAATGTTTGATGCTTTTTTTATTTTTTCGACGATAACCGAAAAATATTGCTATTTGTTTGGTTTCATTTTATATAAATTTTAGAAATTTTTTATGTCGAACTAATAGTTTCCTATTAAATTTCTAAAGACATGTAAAATCAAATAAAATCTAAACAATATTTGAAGAAAAAAAGAAAATAAAATTATTAACAAAAAATATTTCACTACAATTTGAGCGATAGTGAAATATTAAAAAAAATTCAACTTCAATAAGAATTAAAAGTCTCACTTGGTGAAGATTTAGTTATATAGTCGCTCATGTCAATGTGTACATGTATGTATATGTAAAAGTATATAAATGTGATGATAAATATATGAATATACTGTTAATTAAGATTTAATACAATTTTGTTCAAAATAACACATGATAGTAAATTAT